GTGATATCACCGAAGGCCAGGTTGAAGGAAAGAGAGGACTAGGAAGAAGATTGATACAGCTAACCGACGACCTTAAACAAGGAAAGAAGATGACGTTCCAGGAATTAAAGCGAGAAGCCGAGAATAGGGACAACTGGAGAGCTCTGTTTGGGCAGAGCAATGGACCTGTCGTAAGACAGAACACTTAATAAAATAAGGTAATTTATATGCTTACATTATTTACACGATACTTACATCTCCAAGATTATAGCCTGTAAACTACATGACCTTCCACAACTGAACATCATATGTGACATTATCTCTCTGTGTCTGATTTGTGGGCCACAGATTAGTAAATGTAGTCATTTCTATATAGCGTTCTCCTTCATTTGAAATACACAAAACACCTAAATATTCTGAAATATGTTTAGGCATATATTTATACAATTTCAGTTTAAAGCTTAATTATTCGTGTTTTTTTCCGTCTAATTTAAAATATTTTTAATTATTACTGAACTTGAAAGAACGAGTATAGAAGACAAAATGTAATAAGGTAAAAATATAAATAAAAATGGCAGGTAAAATGTAAAAATGAACATACCGAGGAAGAGCGTAGATATGTCTTGAAGGTATTCAGAAGTACTAACGTATCCGAGGAGAACTGGATCAATACTGATCACTTATAGAGAGAGTAGGTGAAAGGTGGTTGTTAGGGTTGGGGTCAAGCGTCTGGAGGACATTGAAGATGGGGTTATTAAGGTATATGTTATTATCGTTTAGGCAAAGGTTTTGTTTAAATGTTTGTTGTATATAATATTTTTCTATTGTATCTCTATGTCTTTTATTTTGTACTATTTTTAAAATATCCATTGTTCCTGTTATTGTGTTGTATGCGTGTCCGGTATTCAGAATATGTTTGGCGTATGCAGAATTGTCTTTGTTGTGTTTTATAGCTGCTATATGTTCTTTATATCTGTGGGTGAATGTGCGGCCGGTTTGACCTATATATGTTAATGGGCATTCATTACATTTGAATTTGTATATCCCAGGTAAATTGTATTAGTTATTTTCGTCTATTGGTGGTTTTTGTTTGAGGATGTTTTTTATTGTGTTTTTTGTTTTGAAAGCTACATTTATTTTATTTTCTTTGAATAGTTTTGTTATGAATTTGGTTTCTTTTCCTATGTATGTGAAAGTGGCCCATTTACTTTGCGTATTTTTATTTTCGTTAGGTTTTTTTTATGTTTTTTATTTAAAAAATTGTTGTTATTATATCCATTTTCTCTGAGGATTTGTTTTATAATATTTAATTCTATTTGTTTATTTGTTGTGGATATTGGGTATAGGTTTTTTCTGTTTATTAGGTAATTGATAGACATTCTTTTATGTTCAAAGGGGTGGCAAGATGAAGCATGAATTATGGTGCTTGATGTAGTAGATTTTCTATAAATGTTGAAGTCAAAGTTTTTGGTTTTTCTTATTATAGTTAAATCTAAAAAGTTGAGTGTATTGTTTTGTTCAGGTTCTATTGTGAATTGGATGATTTGGTTTATGTTGTTGAATTCATTAAGTACTTGTTGAATATTTGTCTTTTTTGTATTATACATTATTAGTATATCATCAACGTATCTGCAATAATATTAGATTTGGTTTTATTTAATATGTTTATTATGTTATTATGTTCTAAATATTGCAGAAATATTTCAGATAATATACTTGAGGTGGGAGCACCCATAGGTAATCCTGTATTTTGTTGCCAATATATATTATTAAATTGAAAGTAATTTTGATTAATAATAATGTTTGTTACTGTTTTAATTTAGTTTATTGTTTGTATGTTGATGTTTTGTTTATTTAGTATATTATATATGATATCTTGTAACATATTTGTGGGAATATTTGTGTACATATTAGTAATATCAAAAGAACACATATGTGAGTTTTTATTGAGGTTGAGTTTTTTAAGTGCATTAATTAAATTTATTGAATTAGTTATATTGAAGGTGTTTGGTAACTCACAATATTCTTTTAAGAGTGTGGCTATTTTTGATGCGATTTTGTATGCTGGAGCTTATGTCCAGATTATTAATGGTCTGATGGAATAGGGATTTTTCTGTAATTTAAGGAGTCCTGTTATTGTAGGTGAGGTTGCACTGTAATTATAGTATTGGGTTTTTGGTGAATTAAAAAGTATTTATATTTTTGGGTTATTTTTTGTATTTCTTTTTGATATTTTGGTGTAGGATTCTGTATTAATTTTGTAAATGAATTTTTGTTTATAAATTGCGTAATGTATTGTTGGTATTGTTCTATAGAAAGTATAATAATAGTTTTACCTTTGTCAGCTTGTGTGATTGTGAGTGCATTTTGTTGTAATTTTTGTTTTATAGTTTTTATTGTTTTCCATTCGTTTGTGTGTATTTTATTATATTGTGTATTAATTTTATTTTGTTTTATTAAGTGTTCAATGTTATTTGCAATTAAGTGACGTATGTGATCTTATTTATGTATAGGTATTAGGTTTACAGCTGTTACAGCTTCTAATGTCAGGTTTTCGATCCATGTTTTATGTTTGTGGTGTAGGTTGTATTTTAATCCTTTGCTCAATAAAGTGTATTCGGGTTGTGTGAATTGGGTATTTGTAAGATTTTTAATACGATAAGAAAAGATACGATAAGCTTCATTCTTGTCTACCTAAACTTTCAAAATATTTTTGACAGCCTATGAACGTGAAAGAAAAACAGAGATTAAAGAAAATAATATTTATCTATTAGAAGTAGAGTTAAACCTCGGTTCACGAAATTAATTCGTTCCTGAAGGTCGTTCGTAAACCGAAACTATTTCCCCCATAGGAATTAATGTAAAATAGATTAATCCGTTCCTGGACCCCAGATAATTGCTTATTTAAAATTTTACAACAGTACTTTGTGCACACGTTCTTAACACAAAATCAATGGAAACCATTAAATCTATCACAAAAAAGATAAACACAACACTAAGCAGATCAAATATAGACGAAAACGTTATTTAGTTTTACCGTACATGTATGGATGAGAGTTGACGGCATAAGTGGAAGGTGGTGAGGAAGTGAAATGTTATTGTTTGGAAGGGGATCCTTTTTCTTTTTTCTGTCTCCTGGCACCACTCGACTCTGCATCAGACTCACAGGGCCTCTGTCTCACTAAAAAGTTGTCCAGTGTGA